ATTTATCCATCATCCATCCATCCATCTATCCATCCACTCACCCACCACCATCCATCCATCCATCCACCCACCCACCCATCCTCCCTCCCTCCCTCCCTCTATCCATCCATCCACTCACCCACCATCCATCCATCCATCCATCTTATTTCTATGGCCGCCTTTCTCACAAAACATGACTCTCGATGCCATGCAATAAAAATAACCATAAAATGACAAGATTAAAAACAAGCACCCCACAATTTAACCGTTCATATTATTTTTCAAAAGCAAGGAGAAAGCAATTAGGAGCTATGGGCAATGAAATCACCCCCTTAAACCAACATTTCCTTGACACCCCGAAGACTGTTACTGTTAAACTTCTCATCAATCCTTATCACCCATAACCTCCCACTTGTGATTGTAGGACTGTAACTTTGTCGCTTGTATCCTTACAATTTATATATTGACTGTTTCTTAGTATGATTTGACTGCTTATTGTACCCTATGACCATCATTAAGTGTTGTACCTGATGATTCTTGACTCTTGACGAATGTATCTTTTCTTTATGTATACTAAGAGTATTTACACCAAGACAAATTCCTTGTGTGTCCAATCACACTTGGCCAATAAAGAATTCTATTCTATTCTATTCTGTTGAGGGACTTATGAGAGGACGTCAAGGATGGGGCCAGTCTTCACCTCAGGGGTGGGGTGGGGTAATATTCCACCGGGGGGGGAGGGGACAGCAGAAAAGGCCCACTGGCGGGGTCCCATCAGTGGTAGCTCCTTAGCTGATGGGATCTTCACCATACTCCTTCTGCTGGACCTGCCTATCTTCTTCATAGCCCTCAACTTTAAACTCTACTAATTTTCAAGTGCCTTGTTGGTGAAATGTGACACCGCCAGAGCAAACTGAGTTAAGATTTTCTCTTCCCCTCTTTTTTCCTTTCTTTCTTTCTCTCTGTGTCTGTCTGTCTCTCTTCAGAGTCTGCTTTGGGGCTCAAGAGCCGACAGATTGGAAGCAGGTTACGAAGCGAAGGTAAAACGCCAGGTTGCCCCAAGGTGAACGCTAGCAGGCCAGCCTGTGTCTGCATCCAACCTGCAAGCTTGATTACATTACAGCACACAATCCATCTTCAGAGGCAAATTTATAGGGAATCAAATCATTATTGATTGGCTAGGAGCTGGGAGCTGCAGCTGACAGACCGTAAGCCCAATCGGACAACAGTGACTTAATTCCGCAAGCATTTGCAGGGACCACTTTGTTTGTGCAGCTAAAGCTATTGCCTCTTGCCCAGTTTGGAGCGGTGAGTGATGGAGACAGTAGCCGGGCCTGCTAAGTGTTTAAATGATGACCACCATTATGTTGCTGTGATTTTCCTCTCCCTCACCCTCCTTTCTTCTCCGAAATGTGAGATTCTGGGCAAAAATTACACCTGTTCTCTCATCTCCTCCGAATCTCCACTCGGCTGGCGATGGGGTGATGGTAACAATGATTGATTCGTTTGTGACAGATTGCAGGAAACAACCATTGATTTTTCAATATTTTTGCCTTAAAATTATTTACAGTTGTAACCATGGGGATGTCTTTCCATGGGCTGTCGGCTTCTGAAAGACGCCAAGATAATATTCCCGACTCCCTGACAAGACAAATTACCTGTAATGACTGCACTAGCTGAAGGGTATACTTTTATTTTAAAATATGTCAATAACTGCAGTGACTAAACGAATATTGATTCAGCATAATGAAGCCTGAATAATGGGAAAATGGGATCCTTCAAGGGAAAGAGAGAAGGAGATATTTCTCCCCCTCCTTCCTTCCTTCTTTCCTTCCTTTCTTCTCTCCCCCTCCCCTTTCTTAGCTTGTAGCAAAGAAGTCTTCTTATCTTTATGGCCATTGGTCGAAAATGTGCAACTTATAAGCATTTTCAAGACAGATTGGATTTTGCTGGGAGCCTCCGTGGACAACATCTTTCTCAAATAAAGGAACCTTTTTCTAAGTTAAGTCCTTTGAAGAGAAGGGGAAAAACAAAGACTTCACACTGGAAATCTTTGAAGGTTGGAATTTTGGGGAAAGGGGAAATGACCGAAGAATCAAAGGATAGATCAGATGCTCTCAAATTTATTCTTAGCAATCTCTCTTCAAGGCACTTCTGTAGGAAATTGAATTGCTGACTTTGCAATTCTGGACTTTTCCCTCCGCCATTCATCTGGAAAAGAACGCAAGGGAGGTGTTTGACCTGGTGGGACCACCAGGGCTGCTTCCAAAAAATCATGGATCAAGCAGGACCAAGGAGTGGCCAGCACTGGGACAAAGCTCAAGACCTTCTAGCAACATCTGGAGGATGGTAAGGAATCAAAAACATGGGAAGCTTGTTTCTTTCTAGCAGGAATGATCCCCAAACACATTTCTTGGAAATATTCTTACAGCCGCGGTACAGAATGAAGATAAAAATCTATATTCTTATTTTGTGTGCAGGAAAGATCTCAAAAGCCTTTTATTACTGAGCGAACGCTTTTTTGTGGAAAATTAAGGATGACTGGTAAAGATTATGTAGCAGGAAAACCCATATTTTAGCTTTCCACCATTTCATTATAGCTGTAATGCATGTTCCTGTGACATTTATGGCTTAATTCAATAAGTGCCCATGGAGTATTTGGGGAAGAAAGTCTTTTAGAATCCCTGCATCATAGTCTGGGGTGCTGTTTGCAAACTAATAAAATAGTCTGGGGTGCTGTTTGCAAACTAATAACATAAGATTGGTATTCAACTGTCTCCTCAATTTCAAACACTTTAAAAAGTTTTCAGCAATTCAAGTGTGTCCGATATCTCTTTGATTAAAGGTTTATTTTTCATGGGCGTTGTGTGCCTGCACATATATATGTATAAAGGTATATAGCAGAAGATTATTAGCAAGAAAAAGAACCAATTTGCGAGCCATAATAATTACTGTGAAACCGATGCAGGCTGAAGATTAAGATCCTGCCCCCATTTTAAACTGAAGGACCAACGAAAACACAATCCCCTCACGTCTGTTTATTTTTGCTAAAGATGGCAGAATGTTTTTTTTTCCTTCACGTGGTTCCATTTTGGGTGCATTGGTTAGTCTGGCTCCACCCTGATCTGTAAAAAAAAAAAAAAAACTTATCTATATAAATCCACTTCTTCTTTGAAAACTCACTCTTTTCTTGAAACCTGTCTCATCCATTTTTGCTTCAGCATCCTTGGCATTTTTTTTTAAAGAAAAGCTAGAGGAGGTGTGTAGGTATATCTCTTTCTTTTCCAATGGAAAGAAAAAAAAGAAAGGAAAGAAAGAAAGAAAGGAAAGGAAAGAAAGAGGAAAGAAGGAAGGAAGGAAGGAAGGAAGGAAGGAAGGAAGGAAGGAAGGAA